AATTTTAACATCTTCATCTTGTGTATGTCAGCTGTTGGCCTTTAAAGCATGTAACAGAACAAAGACACCCCCCACTTCCCACTGCCACTCACACTGCTAGGATACCTTAACCTAGCTAGCTAAAACAGGACAGGATTCAGTCCAGACACTTCAAACAGATCTGATGTCATAGTATAATATTCCCATACAGGAAAAAATAATAATAATAAAAATGCTTCCACTGTGCTCATTTCTTGAAATCGTAACTCAGGAGAGCAGACGTGGAGGCGGGATCTGAATTGATGTCATGGTATAATATTCCCATACAGGAAAATAAAAATAATAATAAAAAAGCTTCCACTGTGCTCATTTCTTGAGATTGTAACTCAGGAGAGCAGACGTGGAGGCGAGACAGGTCATCCCATTCACAAATAGAAGGATCCCACAGCAGGGACAACTAAGGACAAGCAAGGACAACTACACAAAGCTTCCTGCTGCCAAGCCTTGCGTGCTGCGGGCTCCTGACTAGCACTCTCTGCTGAGGAGCCTATTTGTCCGCAGTGGGATCTTCTGGGAAGTAACTGCGTAGATGCAACGATCTGAAATGAGAGCTGCCTTTTTTAACAAAGGATGAAAGGCCAAAGGACACGTCTTTACAGCACTGCCAAGGTACATGGAGCAGGTACTGAGCAGACACACATGCCTTCAGCAGCAGAGTAAGGTCACCATGCCTACATGCACTACGGATTGCTAGCCCTCCCTTCTGTGCCGAACGCGTACAGTGGAGCCCAGGAGAACATTCACTGTGGTATTGGCCCGGAATGACCAGGCACTGCTTGCCTGTCAAGGAGCAAGGGCTCCTGAAACGGGGCATTAAACGCTGAAGGCAGAGCTCTTTCTAGCACCTCCTCTGCATGTCGCGGTGCTTCTGCAACCTTCCACCCTTCCTGTTGGGCCCTCTGCTACACGGAGACACCAACAGCTGAGGCTTCACTCCATCTGTAGCTGCCCTTCTGCAGAGCTGCTCCCTTTAGCAGACAGTCCCTCTGCCAGGGCTCCGTGCTGCATTATTTCCTATTCCTCCTCTTCCTGTGCTGCACAGCTAAATTCTGTGCCACGGACTCTTCCCGCCTCCAGCCTTACCTCTTCCGGACAATGTTGATGTTCTTCTCCAGCTTTTCATAATTTATGTATTCATTGGGCTCAAAGTGGCTCATGGCCACCTTGGCCCGCTGGCACAGGACGGGAGCAACATGGTAGCGCCGCAGCCCACTATTCAAGGCATGCTGAAAAGACGAGAGTATTAGGAGAGCAAAGGAGACTTGCCAGAGTAAATCTCTATAACAAATGCCAATAAATATTAAGACTTTTTAAATTTGCTCTTCCTGGGACTTACAAGCAGAGAAACAGAACACTAGCACAGGTTTTTAAAAACGCCTGGTGAACATTTGATCACACGATACCTTATACTGCGTTAAACAGTCAGACATCAGGTTACCTAGCACTGGTACTATTTACCAAATTATTTTACATTTTTATTTGTAACACATTTTAGTGAGAAATTTGCTTGCAGGCAATAGTCAAAAATTCAATACCTGCTTGCCATAGCAATGGGGTGGGGGAACAACATATGCAGTTTTCAAAACAAGATAATTCAAGCTTTTTGTTCATTCCATGGTAGCAAGTTTATGTTGAAGATGAGACAAAAATTAAAATAAAATAGAGTATGAGGGGAGGAGATGCCCTTCTGCTTCCCCATCACAAACCACGTTTGCAGGGTCCTTGTGCTGTTACAAGTGACTTCCATGTACGTGCATGGTTTACATTGTAACACAGAGCAGGAGAGAGGCCAATTGCCGAACAAAGGTCTTATCTTCACCAAGGCGGATGTGCAGATCCACGTGCTCTTCCTCTTCATCCTTGCCAAGGCATCCTCGCCTCGCCCCTGTTGTTTAGGATCAGGACAGCTTTGCACTTGCCCCACCAATGAGATAACAGAAGAAGGGGCAAAATACACTGCTTGTTTGGAAATTCAGCAGGGAAAAAGTCTCTGTTTCCCTTGGCAGTCTCCACAGAGAAGCCGTTCACCAGACCATGGGAGAAGGGCAGACTATGGCAAAGCAGCTTTGCAGCCTCTGGCCTGGAAGGAGCAAGTTCCCTGGGTGGAAAGGCTCTCATGCAACTTTGGAAAATAAGTCAAAGGACGGCCTCAATAAAACCACCAAGAATTTGGCACATGCATTTCTTAAATCCTTTGCAGGTCTCGGTCATCAGTGCTAGAAGTCTTGAAAGAGATTGAAGAATTCAGAGTTGCTCCTCTTCCAGAATTACATTTTAATCTTGACACCTTTTTTTTCCCCTATTCCTCCTGCACATTGGCATTACAAGGTTTTGTCAAGCATTTGTTAATAGATATAGGAGAGTTTTACTGAATATCCCTTTTGTGTTCAGGAGGATCGTGCTCATGCCCATTTTATTTCCCTCAGCAAGTGTTCTTTGTGAAGAACTGAACTGCAGTACCAATCACTGCTTTCACACTATCAACAGCTCTAATCAACCATTTTTTGTTGTTATAAATATTTCCTCCCCAGTTTTCTGGTTAACAGGATTTAAAAACATTGCCTAAAATAATCATGATCAATGAGATATAGCCACAAATTTACTTTTGAATCTCTTTTTTATTGTCCTTTTGATAACATTTAATAGCATCCATACAAAACAAGGTAAGGAAATCTAGAAGAGATCCTAACAGCAAGCACACCTGCAATAGGTGATATAGTGAATACAGTATTTTAGCAGTTGCGAAACACCTTTATTTAAAAAAAAAAAAAAAGAAAAAAGAAAAGGGTACAAATGAGGGCCAGTCATTAATTCCATGTGCTGCAGCTGCTAGGTTTAGGTTTCGGAACATATCACAGTGCCAGAGGTGAGAGCTTCCACTCTCCCACGGGCAAAAGGAAACATGTGCATAAGCTGCTCTCCATCTACCTCTACGTAACTTTTGGACGTAGACCAGAGATGATTTTAAGTTACCATCTACCCAGCCCAATTAATGCCATGGGCCACATTGCCTGTAACTCACAAGACAGCCAACATCTTGGAAAAACCCCCAAGTGCCTGAATGCTTGGAAAAACAATGAGCAATTTCACCACTGTTCATGGAAAAATAATCTTTTCCCAACCTCAGGCTAGGAAAGGTATTTTGTTTTAATGAAATCATTCCTTCTTTCTCCCACAAGCAAACCCTGTAACACAACTAATTATTGGAGATTCTCCTTATCACCTGATAAACTGAAAGTTACATTTCACTATAATTCAGTGTATAGAAGAACAACAGATCTGCAAATTTAAATGATCACAAAGTCTTCATGACTCTGTAATCTAGTCTGTGATCAGACTTGACTATGACCAAATTCTGAAGTAGAGCTCTCCAAGATCTTAAGCAGAGGTGCAGTAAAGGTTTTTCAGATAAAATTCAGGTAAAATCTTTTCACGTGTCCACGTACCTCCTTACTTCGTGAAATGATTGGACAGAATTTGGTATTAATTAGAACAGTGGCACAAATATTCAGATGGTAACCACAGAAGCAGCAATGCCAGGCAGCACGATCCTCTGCACACTGCCAGAAGCCGAAAGGGAGATAAATGAGCAGGTCTGAGGCAAACAATTCCACCCGGGGATGCAGATGAGCTACAGAAACCTGGAGACTAAAAGGTCTGTTTCCATGAAGGCCAGCAAGACTAGGGAAAAACAGTCACCTAACGCCAGTCACTTCTAGAAGCCAAGAGAATGACTTTTCTCTACACAAGTCCTTTAAAGGCATCTTTTAAGACTGAGACTTTCATTTTACTGAGATCTAAATCCATCTCTCTCTTCTTCTGGGACTTATTTGACTCAATATGGATGTTTTTATGTAGGAGGTCAACAAGCCTACAGCTCCATCACTAACAACAAGCAATTGCATACCTCCAGGGCAGAAGTACAAACCCACACTTTAACTACAGAGGTATATCTACCTGTGGCAGCCTAAGGAGCAGTGTAGAGCTGCCAAATCTACTCAGATCCTTGCTTAAGGACAGATCTGCTCTCCATAAGCCTTGCTTTTCTAAGTCATTCAATACCTTTGAGCAAGAATTTCCATGATTTGTTATTGTATGAAACAGTGGTCTCACCTGCTCAGGTCCACTGCCTAACTTCACAGAGTGCTTTATTATTTATAATTTTTGAGACATCTACATCACATCCACTTCAGCTGTCACTGCCTGGTTGGAAAGTTGAATCCTTCCTCATAAAGAATCTGCAATATTGCTGATCGGCCTTGTGTGATCCTCGTTGCCTGTGCTGCTTCTATTGTATCCTCAGAAATGGGGTGGTAGAACTACAAGATTAAGAGAAACTTCTTTCCCACTTCATTCCCTCTCATGCTTCCCTACTAGAGTGCTTGCTAATGAGTAGTAAAATGTGCCATGCAAAAGCCGAGGGAAGCAGGCAGTGAGCTGCCCACACGTCCTTTTAATTCAGGGACTGCTAAGAGCAACCCCCAAAACAGAATAATCAGCCCATTGCCTAGATCACTGATTAGATAAATATGAAGCACCAACAAGCTGTCAGCATGGAGCAGCTCTGAAAGGGCCTCTGCACAAACCATTAAGAGTTTGTGCTTACCACCCAACAGACAGTGGCCAAGTGATCGCCTCTTATCTGCTACCTATTTTTCATCTTAGTACCAGAGCATCTTTCTTCAGATCTCAGTAAAAGAAAGCACATTAAGTACTAGAGAGCTCCTTAATCCAGAAGTATTTTGGCAGGGGAAAAGCTTCCTTGTAAGTCATGAAAAGGTCAGCCTATTAAGCAGATCATTATTTTTGCATTCCTTAAGAAAATCAAATAAAATTTTTATAGATTTTTAAAGCTCACTCTAGAAGCTGCCTACCATGCATTTAACTCACTCTAACACACAGTCCAGATATAAGTCAAGTCTCTATATCAGAAGCAGACGTTTTGATACGGTGCACCACATATGGTAGAAAAGTCCGGTAAGAAAAAGCTTGCGTTCCAAAGGAGTAGCAACTACATACACTCCTATCCAAGGAATCAGCTCTCAATTCCACTGGAAACCCAAAACAACATCTCTCCTCGTCCTCCTTGATTTATGAACACCAGCCATGTTTCCAACATTCACCATGATTAAGCCTAAAAAAAGCAGCATCGTATAATCAAAATGCAGCCTCGCTTTCCAGACCCACCTCCCAAGACCAGCTAAAAATAGTATTGTGAAGAGCAGGTTGATTCTAGCCAACATTGCTCTTTTGGCCAGCATACACAAATCTCACTATATGTAGTTTCAGTACTTACAAGAGCCTTAATAAAACCCAACTTCTTACGATTTTACAGTATCGTTCTTTCAGTCCCTTGTCAGCCAACATGATTCAAGAAAGAGAGTGCTGTTAAAAGCATCTTTCAAGATAGGTGTGAAACAAGAGATCTTGACCCTCTGAGGCTATCAGTAGAGTTACCATATTTAAAGAGGATAATTAGCCTGAATCAGGCTAATTCCAATTTATTTCTCTCAGAGGTAAGCTTCCTGTGCAGTTCCTATTCTAAAACTATTAGAGGGCAGGAGGTGAGTAGGCCTGATATTAATAATATGTGCCAGGCTCAATGCTGGCACTACTGCAGCACCTGGTGAGATGACTTGCATATTGAATAAAGCTCTAGCCTACTACATGCAAGCTAAACTCAGTTGCTTCCTAAAGAGATGAGCTAGAAGCATGTTTCATTACCTGAATATATTGCATACTTAGTTTTTCATAAGAAAAAGAGGGGAAAAAAAGGGAAAAAAAAAGTAGCTTTAGCATGACAATAGAAAATACAAATTCCCTGTGCTCACTACACTGCCACCACCTGTTTTCATTATACAATATTCATTTGATCATGTGATGCCATGCTGCAAAATAAAAACCAATCCGTTATCCTAAAAAAAAGATTTTCCCTCATTTTATGGACATTTAGAAGCAGTAGATCAAACAATTATTTGTTCAAAATAAAAATAAACACCTTCTAGCAATTAGCATTGAATGCACTGAGCTAACCAGACAGTACTGTTCTATAGCTTTTACTTAAAAAATAGCACTTTTCTAAAACACCTACCTCTAAAGCAATGAAGTGATATAAAATAATAGTAAGTGCCACCATTTTTTTTCCAAATAACAAAAGCAAAATTCTTACTTCAGTTCCCTGAGTAAAGGGAACATGTTCCCCAAGGTCACGAGTGGCAAACTAAGAAGTTAAATTGCCGACGTTGCCACATGCTTTAAGGGGACACAGGCTTCTTTATTTCTATTAGAGGACCCAAAGAATAAAAGCATACTCCCATATTCACTCTGGTGGCTTTCAGAAAGCACGAAATCTTTACTGTGGAGTGCACGCCAACCATTATAACGGTCTGAGTAAGGGCATCCACGTGGCAGCTCATGTTACGAGCAGATGTGATTTTTAGAGGTCATTATGGATGAGAGCGTAAGAATTACTCCCAACCCCAGTTCAATGCATTTTAAGAAAAAGGCAGTTTATGTGTGTGCCCAGGCTGCTTTTTTCCCAAATCTCCATAGATCTGTTTGCCTGCACGAGCAGCCCACGCTGCTTCTCCACACAGGTGGGCCTCTATTAAGGTCAAAACCAGCAAATTTGAAACAAAGCTGACAGGAAACTGAAAGCGCTTTGGCTCA